TTAGTAACATCACTCTCTCAACATTTTCAAAGGTACAAAAAAAAAGTCTCTTCCCCATCTTCTCCTCTAGCTATAAGGGGTGACTGTCATTACTGGTTTTCTGTGTGTCCTTCCAAAGATAGTTTATACATCTGCAAACAGATCCTTCTTTCTACCTGTCTACCCACCACAGCCTGCTGTTCCTGATGTACTGAACCTTACTTTATTCCATTAACAATAGTACTTGGAGATCATTCTTTGTCAGTCTGATACTCTCAAGCTTTTCAAATTGTACAATACATGAATATATTCTTCTGGGCTTTTTTCCTAAGAGGAAAATATTCCAGCAAAGGCAATATACACACAGAAAACAGTACAGTTTAGTGGTTAAGGGGATAAGCACTGAAGCCAAACTGCCTGGGTTCAAATTCAGGCTCCATCACTTAGGAGTTGTGTGACCTCTCTGTGTCTCAGTTTCCTCATCTGTAAAATGAAGTTAATGACACCTTCCTCACAGGGCTGTTGTATAGATTAAAGGAGAGTAAATGACGTGCTACATTCAAACTGCTTGGCACAGCGCCCAGCATGTTGGAAATGCCCTCCACAGTCACTCTCAGCACAGTGGTCTCCTTCCTAGGGTGTGAATGCACCAAGGAAGTATTCCTTCTCACAGTTGTTTATTTAATTGCAGTAAGAACCCTTAACATGGGATCTACTTTCTTAACAGAATTTTAGTGTACAATACTGTATTATTGTTCACTACAGGCAAAATGTACAGCAGATGTCAAGAACTTATTCATCTTGCATAACTGAAACTTTATATCTGTTGATTAGCAATTCCCCATTTCCTCCTTCCCCCAGCCCCAGCAGTCACCATTCTACTCTCTGCTTTAGTGAGTTTGACTGTTCTAGATAGCTCATATAAGTGGAATTATGCACTATTTGTCATCCTGAGGCTTATTTCACTTGAGGCATAATGTCCTCAAGCTTCATCTATGTTATTGCATATTGCAGGATTTCCTTCTTTTCTAAGGCTGAATAATATTCCATTGTAGGTATATACCATGTTCCTCTGTCAGGATGTTCTTTCCTGCCTTTTATCTGCTGGCCTCATTCGCCTCCTCCAACATCAGTTCCTTTAGGAAGCCATCTTCTAGGCCCCAGGCTGGTGAGTCACCTCCTCTGGGCTCACATTCACCTTTGGGTTCCCCATTTTGGCCTTGATCACTTTGGCCTGTGCTTCCTCTCTCGATGTCTTATCACTTTAGCATCTCCATGACCATGCTGAGCTGTCACACTCTGGTGAATGTCTGTCTCCCCCATTCTCCTTTGACCCTTCAAGGGCAGGAACAGAGCTTCTTGACCACTGCTGTGTTCCTCACATGGTGCTGCATGATGAGGCTGGACACATTTGCACAGTGCCTTTAATGCTTAATTCAGGCCTGATGGGTGCTTGATAGATCTGAGAAAAAATAAGACCTTTTGGCTGCCCCACCTGAGCACTTGCCTCCTTGCTCTGCCTCCTCACACCACATGACTTCTCTCTTTCCCCTCCCTTTCCTCCTCTCCTTATCCCACAATGCACACTGGTCCCACCCAGCTCTGAAGCCTCCCTTTCTTGGGCATGATCTATAGCTCTCTCACCTCTGCCCATGAATTCAGGCCCTCCATTGCTCAGCTGACCCAAAGGAGCCCCTGAGATTTCTGCATTTACTTATTACCCTAGTACCTGAACTTTAGGTTTCAGCATGTTGCTAAGTCTGCACAACTCTGTGCTGCCACTGATGATGTTTTTTTCTATGCAAAGTTTGCCAAAGTGAATTCATATGGAAACTTTAACCTATGAAGAGTTTTTGCAAAAAATGGATGAGCTAGAACCACATCTATGTTGAATAAAACTCAAATACATAGTTTGAAGTGCAAAAAATCAATTGCATGAGGATATGTACCATAAGACACAACTTACATAAAGCTTGCCAAAACTATTCTATACACTGTTGATGAATATATACATATACAGTAAAAATATGAAAGCATGAATTGGAATGAAAACCCAAAAGGTTAACAAATATTTGAAATGATTCTCAAAATCATTAATAATAGAAGTGAGAACTGCAATAATGGCTGGTGTCCCTTTACACTGAATTATCTCATTAAAAACTAGAAAGCTGGGTGATGCTAAGGGTGGGTGGTGATGAGAGAATGCAAGAACCCTCGTGAACTCTTGGAGTGTGAAGGGAAGGGACAGCCATTGTGGAAAGCAACCTGACACATGCAGGTCCATGACCCAGCAATTCTACTCCCTACGAAAGAGACAAGCGCCAAGGGGCCACACATGAGGGCGCTCACCACAGCATTATTTATAGTGGTAGTAGTGGGAGGGGAGGGAGTTGGAAGTAGCCTGAGTGTCCTCCCCTGGGGAAGAGAGAGTAAATTGCAGGATGCAGGCCAGCGATGTCCCAAGTAACCATCAGAAGCCGTGGACACAATGTGCCCAGAGTAATGTGGATGGATCTTAAAATCATAGTCCTAATCAAGGAAACGAACATGATAAGCTTATTTAACACAATCATGGGTATGAAAATTAGAAAATAAGTCAAGGAAACAAAGGCACCCATTTTTTAAGAACACAACCAATGAAAAATATAAATACACACATATTAGAATGTTGGCCAGTAGAGGGCACTGAAGGAGACTGGGATGTGGGGAGATGAGGAAATATATTTAAAACGAGGTGTTTTACCGGGAATAATAATAAACTCTAAACTGAGGATGTGGGATTAACTCAACCCATGACACCTGAAATCTGAAAAAGAAAGCAGGGGAAGAGGTGAGGAAGAGGATGAGTCCCAAATTCAGTAGTGAAGTTATCTTTAGGATGAGGTCAGGTGGCTTCAAGTGTCATCTGCTGTGAATGCCACTTTAAAAAATCTGCCCCAAAGAAAAATACTTAGGTTTCACCATGCTGAGTGGTAAGAATATAGGTGTTACATTATCCTCTACATGTTCTTGTATACTTGAAATATCTTATGGTAAAAATTTTTGAGAAAACTTCCCTTTCACTCCTGACCACAGAAAACAAAATATCCTGTATTAAAAATAACTATAATGAAAATGCTGCTAGATTCTGGTCAGACACTGAGGCCTGTTGAGGCCTGCTGTAAGCAAGTTTGGAGGGGTGTTTCACACACAGTAGCAACAAACTGCTGAGACTTTCTGCATGGCACCAACAGGATTAGAAGTGGATTGTTTTCTCACCATAGGAGTTTGATATCATTTCATGTCCATAGCCTAAAATCTTGTGTGCCCACTTCA